GTGGTTTGGTAAAATCCCTTTTATCCTTATTAAATTATGTCCCAAGTTAGTAGGTCTAATGCACCAAATTCAACAATTACATGTTGGCAAAAGGATGTTGGCATTTTATATAATATTTCTCCGCCTTCAAGAAAAATGTTGAACACATTTTAAAATACAGAAGTTATAAGCTTTAAAAATCTAATTATTTTAATCTATGTTCTTCTTTAGTGTTACCCTACAGAAATGTTGGGTTATTGCTTTAATTCATTTTTATTTTTTCCTTCAGTCAAAGCCAACCTACAAGCCTGGTAAAAAATGGCCCACTGCTGACTCCACCTTAATTGCTCTGGTTCATGAGCAAGCAGCTAGATGTACCAAGGCTAAGTGATGCACTGATTTCCTCTCTGCCAGACTAAAAAACTAAGTTGTCAGTACAGGCAAGAAGTGATATCATTCTGAATTTCTTTGCCTTACTCATCTCTTATTTCACAACAATGAAGGTTGTTGGGAGTCTGCAAGTTTCAAAACAAAGTCTAGACTGTAAAACATTCAATGACAGTTATGCAACTGTACACTAATACTATGAAGACTGCAGACTTATTTTTTCATTAGAATATAACAATACCATTTATATCAATAAATTTGATACGGGCACGCCGCATGTGGGCATTTTTGAACTTGACACATCTGCACCAGATTTGAACAGAGTACCACCAAAAAAAAAAAAAAAAAAAAAAAAAAAAATCAAACTTATCATCAACTTAAATATAATTAATTACTAGTAATAAAACAAGCTGTATAAAAAATCCTCAAACCAAGATTACAGACCTATAACAGTGTTGAGGCTCAAGTAAAGAAATTTAAGAGGGCTAATACAGATTCAACAAGGAAGGCAATAGGATTGTTCTCCAATTCCCACAATAAAGGATAATATAAGTGAAGATACAACGCTGACCTTGGCCCTCAGTTATGTCACCCCTGTGAACTTATGTGGCAATACTAACATAACAGAATTAGTCACTCTGATTCACATATAATGAGGGAATTCTGGCATGCTTAGGCCGCATTCTGCCATGTTTTAGCAATAAAATGTCCTAGCCTTCACTTCAGAGAGCAGCCTTCCGAGTAAAATGTCCTCCCTGAGGATCAGTCCTATACGTATTCTAGTGAAGCCATCACTGCAAATGACCTGCAGGCAGCTCAGATAGGGTTTGTGTATTCCCATAAAGCAGCTTGTACCCAAAGTTAGCACTAAAACCACTTTTGTAATCATTTCACTGAACGCAGCTTGAACTGAAGGATTTTTGCTTTCAAAACTATTGAGTCTTTGTTTTTAATAACTTTAAAAAGATTATAGCATGCAAAAAGGGGCGACAATCTTATTTTATTTCTAGGAACACAAAATCATATCCCATCTCTCCATTGACAAAAATAACTCAATCATACCCCCATGCTGTAACCTCAAGTTCCTCAGGGCCTCAAATTGTCAATGAAATTTTGACCTCATATATTCTGTTACAATATAATGATTACAGTGTATGGTGCCTGACCTAAACATAAAAACTACGCCAGTATCAATTCAGCAGACTGCTACACACCACATTGAAATTTAAACAGGAAATAATTCACAGTTCACACACTGGAACTCAATATGCCTAGTATAATATATACTGTTGACGACCTAGTTGACCTCGTAGCCTCTGCCCTTAGTGTAGTTTACAAACACACATCCGAGGTTCCCACAGAACTCAGCGTTAATACTTCCCGACCTCCTGTCTTCATTCTGAGGGCACCTTGTACGAAGGAATGCATACGCCCCCTAATACAACAGTGTCAAGTTTCTCTGAGCTTTTTAGAAGTTGAACACACAACTGAAAAGGACTCCAACAATTGATGAGTTCAAATGTAAGGTAAAGGTCTGACCTGAGAATTCAGCATTAATTTTTCCCAACACAATAGTGTTAGGTTTCTCTGAACTTTTTTTAATCTTGTATATAGAGTAACCACTTCTTAAACAAGTGCAAACTTAACTGTTCTTTCCTTTCACAGAATTTCCTTCATTTCAACATGCACTCAATTTTTAATTTCTGGACTCACTTAGTCTAGAGCAATATTTCCTTTCGACAAAATATGGCAATTTATGCATAATCAAAGTGTTGACTAAACTTAAGAATGATTTGATTACAAAATGTGCTTAGAACTTAGTTTTTAAAAGTCAAAATATTTCAGTTAGCATAAAGAGTGACTGGATATCAGCAAGTGTCCGTGTCATAAAGTTCAAGGTTGTTAAATAGGGACAACAAGCAACATCCACTTATCGCACATTAATCAAAATCTTATTTCTAGAATTGTTCCCTTCCACACGCATTACATATGAAGTATAAAACACAGGGAAATGTTGGGGAAGTCGAGCAGAGAAGAGCTAGTAAGAAGACCACCAGTACAGGTGGATGTCAACAACAGCGATGAAGGAAAATACAAGTGTGTCAACTCTGCGATGGAGAGAAATACAATGTGTGTCAAGTCTGCGTCTGTATCTACAGCAGACTGGGTACATATCAACACTGATGACAGACAGATACACCTGTGTCTACACAGGATTGTTCAGACCATGAGGAGGGTACACATAGTTTATTAAGTGACTAAGGAGATTATAAGATTAAGGGACCCCCCACTCTGGCCTGTTGCCTCTCAACAGAACAATGCCAAAACGTGATCATTATTGTGAATGGAAGGAACCGGGGCGAAGGGAGAGACCAGTTGGTCTAAGATGCAAGTACTCGAGTACTTACTACATTGGTACTGGCCTGAATAAATAAATAAATAAATAAATATATTGAATACTACAATTTCTATCTTTCTCTTTTTGGTTATTGCTAGTCTAATTTGTTTATAAATAAAAATTAACATCTTTCACTGATAAAAAAAGTGAGATGATAATGGGTTGTTCAATTTGTAATTAAAGGAATTTTAACGAGGAGATAATTATCCAAGGACGTAACATTTTTCTAGATAAATTTCAAATATCAAAATAGCTGATCGTAACCCCAAACAGCCACTGTACAAATTTTGTATTATATATATTTCACCAGACCTCGTATCTGTCCTTGGCAATAGTAATACATTATCTGAGTGAATTTTGTGCCTGTGTTTAGACAACCCACTGAACCACAGACTATTACATCACAGGGTAAAGTAAACCTGGTCTGCCTGTGACATATTGCAGATCAAAACCAGTTTCGGTTTGAGTCAACAACAACAAAGTGCATAGTATGAAGTGTTCTATACACAACAGATAAACAACTATTAGGCATAATCTATTTATACCACTGTCACATAACGATAACAAGTCATGAACTATACAAATGCTGATACTCTGACTCTGTACAAGTTGGGGGTCAACCAAGAGTCACTCAGGTGCATAAAAACTGGATATTCTATACCACTGTCAAGCTTAATCACACAAGTTAAAGCAAGGGGAATCAATACACAAGTGATTCATGTGGCGAAGCTGAATCTCAGAACAAATTTGCAGGAAGCTATTAGTTTTGGAAGTAAATAAACACAAGTGACACACAGTAAACAGGCAGGAGGAGGAAGTATTACCATGAAATTACACCAGTGGCAGCCGGTTCAGACAGGGTCATGCTTAGAACCTTGCTTCAGCATCGGATAATTGAAAGCTGAATACTTGTGTTTGAAATATCTAGGGCAGAGATGGTTAAATCTTCAGTTAAATTTGAATCAAGATTTCTCAGTGAACTAACCACCTGAGTTGAGTTGGACCATTAATACAGGAAGGTCCAGTCCTATCTGATAATAAATACCATCCAGATCTCAGTGGAGAGAACCCATCACACCCCAGAGTTAGTTAAACTTGACGGACATTCAGCAAGACACACACGTGATCAGGATTTTCATCTCGGGTCAAAAGAGATCCCGTCTGTACAGGTCTCACATGGTTATCAAGAATCATGATGCAGCTACGCCCACCACAACGTGAGAAGGACACATGAATATAAATCAACATTAAATGAGGGGCGACACAAAGCACCAAGGGTCCTCAATACAGATAAATTTCTACCATTCACTTGGCTTCTTTTCCACTTTATACATCATCACAAATGAATGAGATAAGAATGGATTATTCTCCAATTTACCTGAAATTTCAACACAGTTTTGTATATGGTGGTAATGGTTGGGGGTGGGGGGGGGGGGAGGAATGGACATTATGATGAGAGGACCAAAAATTTACTAAAAGTTGGTAACTCTCCCGAAAAAAAAAAAGGAAAAAAAAAACTATTAGTGACTCTCTGAAGATTATCTTAATTAATATAACATAAGCTTGATGAAAAATCTGTTCTTTTGTTATATCACTATCAATGTGACCCAACCCCAACACACACCCATCAGTAAGAATCCTTCTGTCTAGAACTATGTAAAATATACAAATTAACTTCCCACTTCCTATGTCAATGAACTAAAAGCCCAGTCACCTACATCGCCATTAATGTCCAGGTGAAACATGCCTTCTTCTTGGCCTTAGTGAAAGTATGCAGTTTACGTGTGGTCTAAATATGTCATCTCCTCTTAGATACTATACTGCTAATTCATTCATGTTTTTAACATACAGTGAAGGTATGGAATTTACATACTATTCAGGCGGCCTAACTTTACAGTACATGTAGCTTGTAAACATACATTTTATGTTCAATTCCTATAACATTCATATGTTATTCCACTGTTAAGGACAAACTGTACATCTGTGCAATTTGTGAACTTTTATGTTAATGTCCATGTACTCCAGCATTACTGGACAAAATCTCTTGTAAACACATTATTGGGGGGGAAAGAAACATACCAGCTATGATGATGGTGATTGGAAACCCATTCACTTTTTCTTGTCATAATCCTTATTTTAGACTCAAAATAATGAATAAATTAAGAACATTGTGAAAATCCGTGTGTGTGTGAGAGAGAGAGAGAGAGAGAGAATGAGGACGAGTATGAGTACTAACGTTTTAGTTTCCCCTTCTGCAGACATGCTAACTGGTGCTGTCTCTGTAGCCACAAGGCCTGATTGGCAAGCAGTACATCCTCCGAGGTATCCATTCCAACTGTTTCCACCGTTTGCACCATTGGTGGCGCATGCACAGGCATACGAGGTATTACAAAGATTAGTTAAATAAAAAAATTCAACAGAAATATGCAACTCCAAATTGAAGGACCTCTCATGAGGTCTCTAGTATTTATATTGTTCTCGATGCCTCAAAAAGATATGAAGCACCACAAGTTTAGCCCAGTTTCTAGCTCAGTTCCTAGTCAGAGGAATTGGCAGTCCTTCCTCTAGCTTGCCACCAAGTGTTAGCTTTTCATATTTCACACAAGTATCCTCGTTCCTTCACCAAGCGCCTAGTCCTGATATAGCAACAATTGCACAAATGAACTAATTTAAGAACTGTCGTCTAAATATAAAACATCCTACTTGGGAGATGATATCGACAGCATAGAAATATTGGAAAACCAGAAGGCAGTCAGTTATAACTCGGTTTATACTTCTCAGCTTGGAGTTGTGTAATCTGAAACAACTATTAATAACTCCGGAAAGTGTCAAGTTCAATACATCATCCCCCTGGGCCGTGAATAACAGCAGAAGAAAAAAGTAATCCAAACAAGAAAATCAGATGAAAAAATACTGTACACCAGCTGAGCCTTCGTGCTTTCTTGGGGTATTGTTTCAAAATTTCCAGTACGCGTACATATCCCAGTACGATACTATATGACTGGAAAACTTCGACAATGTTTACAAGCAAATCTGCACCTGAATTTCATAGGATCGATGTAAAATCAATAGTCTCTATTTGTAATAAAACTGGTTTGGCCTGCCTTTATATGATTGTAGAATTGGAACACGAGTTTCCAGAAGCCCCTAAAGTCACAAGGTAGTATTCATTTAATTGTATCAAGTTTCAATGCATCAAAGAGGTCTATTTTTGATCTTTGTTTTGATTTCCTTCCAGTCAATGTAGAAACTGTAACACTTCCTTGATTACCCTGATCCAAGTTTTTATCGACAAATTATTATGGACTGCTTTCACATGAACGCACCAATGTTATGGGTTGCATAGGTAGACATTTAATATAGAGTCATCTCAGTCACTCAGGCACCAGATACCAAAACTGGGTCTGTTGGATTTGTTTCCTTTACCTTTCCAAATTTAATTCAATATGGTTCAAACAGCAGCCAAGCCCAGGTGGTAATTTACTGCCAGCTGATTGGTTAACAGCTCCATCTGGAGACTATTATGGGCTATGTGTCCTGAGTCAGCTGATCTATGTTTACAAACAAAGAGATGACAAACCAGAAGATGAGACTGCTTTGAAAGAATGAATGTTCAGTGAGGATGAAAAATAGGGCATTCATGAAAAAAACATATACTTGCTGTATCTGTCAAACTTTTTTCAAGGCTTGAAAGTTGTTCTTGAATCCCTGTCAAACAGATGAGAAGAAAGTGAATATCATAGCATTCCCAAAAAGGCGAACACCTGGTTCATGTCTATCCTATTTCAAGAAATGTTTTCTCGGCTTTCCATAATCTTTAATTTTTCTCCTTTAATCCCCAAAAACGAAGCTGCACGGAAAACTGTACATATGCCACTTCTTGACCTATACAGAGATAACAGAGTTATTCAACGTATGAGGTAGGTGGGAGAAAAAGCTAAGTATGTATAAAGCACCAGGGAACTACAGAAAGGAAGCCTCTGTTGGCAACTCAACTTTATAGACAGGTAGACCGATGGCGGGCTCCCTATATGTAGCACTCCACTTAACCTCTACGCCTCCTCAGAAATGCTTTGAGCTTTATCCCTGAAGGTATGCCTTTAACAAAACAATTTTCCTGTCAGCTGCAAAGAAGGTTAGGTTCCCCGTTTTACTTTTGCTGCTCGATTTTTGTCCAGTGGTGTCCTTTTGTGTATAAATATAGCACCAACTGTTTTGCAGTCTTTCCTTCCAAGGTCTGTTTGCCAATAAATCACTTATCTATCTGTAGTAATCCAAAGAGAAAAGTTCCTGAGTTTTCAGTTTCACTAATGAAATGCGCATATTTAATATCCTCTTCAATAATTAACTGTTCTTCCTTTCATTTCACCCTTTCAATCATCCAAGGTCAAATATGTATGATCATAAAAATCTGTGCTCCTCTTCCTTTTGTGAGAAACAAAAAACTGTATCAGCAGAATGAAGATTAACTAACAGGTCCAATATATTCTTCACCAAAATCACTAGTCCCCACAGGTAGATGAAAACTTGAAAAGGTACAAAAAAAACCAGGTAAAGAAGCTTATAAACTGCCACAACTTTATTTTATATGATATTAAATGCTGCAAGTGTGACAACGGAATCAAAGTCCATAGAGCAGAGGAGATAAAACACAATGTCACAGTCCGTAATCGACCCGCCTAGAACTGATAAACACCCTGCACTTGATAATGCGGTCAGAGTTATTACAGCCCACAAACTTGCGACAATAACAACCTATGTTATCTGTCACCCAGGACCACGCACTCAATACAAAAGCAATTCTGACTTCCTGGAATTTGAGGCAGAGGTGTCTGACGTGAATTCTAGTGAATACCACAAGAGGTGTTAGTGACAAGAATTCTAGTAAATATGACAACAGGATAACAAATGATTTTCTTCCTGCTTCAAAAATTTGCTGGTGCAGTATATCTATTTCATTTCATACCAGTCACAGCTTCCATATGGTTCTCTTTGTCTGGAGGATGGATAATGCCTGATCAGTTAGCAAAACCATCCCTTTCTCAATGTATTCTTTTCACTGGTAACAGCTGATTGCATTATAATTCCAGGCAGTAGTAAACTCCTGGTAATCGACTGCCTTTATGTTCCCTTGCGTTAATACTCCTCCTATAGCTCCAATAATAAACAGCAGGTGACGAACAGCAGGTAAAAGTCAACACAGATCTTTGTTAGTAAAATCCCCTGATACTTTTGACCCCTTGAAAAACCAATGCACTTTGAAGTGTCAACACTGCACTTTATCCCAGATGTTCACGTACAGTTGATGAATGTGACAGTCAATGAATGAATGAATGAATGAATGAATGAATNTTATGAAGCACCACAAGTTTAGCCCAGTTTCTAGCTCAGTTCCTAGTCAGAGGAATTGGCAGTCCTTCCTCTAGCTTGCCACCAAGTGTTAGCTTTTCATATTTCACACAAGTATCCTCGTTCCTTCACCAAGCGCCTAGTCCTGATATAGCAACAATTGCACAAATGAACTAATTTAAGAACTGTCGTCTAATAATAAAACATCCTACTTGGGAGATGATATCGACAGCATAGAAATATTGGAAAACCAGAAGGCAGTCAGTTATAACTCGGTTTATACTTCTCAGCTTGGAGTTGTGTAATCTGAAACAACTATTAATAACTCCGGAAAGTGTCAAGTTCAATACATCATCCCCCTGGGCCGTGAATAACAGCAGAAGAAAAAAGTAATCCAAACAAGAAAATCAGATGAAAAAATACTGTACACCAGCTGAGCCTTCGTGCTTTCTTGGGGTATTGTTTCAAAATTTCCAGTACGCGTACAGATCTCAGTACGATACTATGACTGGAAAACTTCGAGAATGTTTACAAGCAAATCTGCACCTGAATTTCATAGGATCGATGTAAAATCAATAGTCTCTGTTTGTAATAAAACTGGTTTGGCCTGCCTTTATATGATTGTAGAATTGGAACACGAGTTCCCAGAAGCCCCTAAAGTCACAAGGTAGTATTCATTTAATTGTATCAAGTTTCAATGCATCAAAGAGGTCTATTTTTGATCTTTGTTTTGATTTCCTTCCAGTCAATGTAGAAACTGTAACACTTCCTCGATTACCCTGATCCAATTTTTTATCGACAAATTATTATGGACTGCTTTCACATGAACGCACCAATGTTATGGCTTGCATAGGTAGGCATTTAATATAGAGTCATCTCAGTCAGGCACCAGATACCAAAACTGGGTCTGTTGGATTTGTTTCCTTTACCTTTCGAAATTTAATTCAATATGGTTCAAACAGCAGCCAAGCCCAGGTGGTAATTTACTGCCAGCTGATTGGTTAACAGCTCCATCTGGAGACTATTATGGGCTATGTGTCCTGAGTCAGCTGATCTATGTTTACAAACAAAGAGATGACAAACCAGAAGATGAGACTGCTTTGAAAGAATGAATGTTCAGTGAGGATGAATAATAGGGCATTCATGAAAAAAACATATACTTGCTGTATCTGTCAAACTTTTTTCAAGGCTTGAAAGTTGTTCTTGAATCCCTGTCAAACAGATGAGAAGAAAGTGAATATTATAGCATTCCCAAAAAGGCAAACACCTGGTTCATGTCTATCCTATTTCAAGAAATGTTTTCTCGGCTTTCCATAATCTTTAATTTTTCTCCTTTAATCCCCAAAAAACGAAGCTGCACGGAAAACTGTACATATGCCACTTCTTGACCTATACAGAGATAACAGAGTTATTCAACCTATGAGGTAGGTGGGAGTAAAAGCTAAGTATGTATAAAGCACCAGGGAAGTACAGAAAGGAAGCCTCTGTTGGCAACTCAACTTTATAGACAGGTAGACTGATGGCTGGCTCCCTATATGCACTCCACTCCACTCCACTTAACCTCTACGCCTCCTCAGAAATGCTTTGAGCTTTATCCCTGAAGGTATGCCTTTAACAAAACAATTTTCCTGTCAGCTGCAAAGAATGTTAGGTTCCCCGTTTTACTTTTGCTGCTTGATTTTTGTCCAGTGGTGTCCTTTTTTTGTATAAATATAGCACCAACTGTTTTGCAGTCTTTCCTTCCAAGGTCTGTTTGCCAATAAATCACTTATCTATCTGTAGTAATCCAAAGAGAAAAGTTCCTGAGTTTTCAGTTTCACTAATGAAATGCGCGTATTTAATATCTTCTTCAATAATTAACTGTTCTTCCTTTCATTTCTCCCTTTCAATCATCCAAGGTCAAATATGTATGATTAAAAATCTGTGCTCCTCTTCCTTTTGTGAGAATCAAAAAACTGTATCAGCAGAATGAAGATTAACTAACAGGTCCAATATATTCTTCACCAAAATCACCAGTCCCCACAGGTAGATGAAAACTTGAAAAGGTACAGAAAAACTAGGCAAAGAAGCTTATAAACTGCCACAACTTTATTTTATATGATATTAAATGCTGCAAGTGTGACAACGGAATCAAAGTCCATAGAGCAGAGGAGATAAAACACAATGTCACAGTCCGTAATCGACCCGCCTAGAACTGATAAACACCCTGCACTTGATAATGCGGTCAGAGTTATTACAACCCACAAACTTGCGACAATAACAACCTATGTTATCTGTCACCCAGGACCACGCACTCAATACAAAAGCAATTCTGACTTCCTGGAATTTGA